CCCCCCCCCCCCCAAATACTGAGCATACGACACAGTTCCTTCGTCGCACACTCAGTACTAGACTCAATACTGAGCATACAACATAGAGTCCTGGTCGCATCCTCAGCAGAGTGGCAAGGAGAGCACCCTTGGTCTCGAGCAGAGGCCGGAGATGTCGACTCCACTACCAAAAAACGTGGCATGGTCAGTGAATGTGGCGACGGGGAGTTTAGGTAGCAGAGGCCAGCCTAATACTCAGGTATCGATATCGAGAACTTACCTTTGTGACTCAGCCTTGGCCTTCCAATCTGAGAAGAGAAGAATGTTGGACGCAATGCCTTCGAGGACTGCCGTCGTGAGCTATGGCCACCACTGGTTTACTAAGATAAAGTGGTACCCCCGAAACTCATCCTTTGCCCAAGAAGAGAAGAAGGTTGGACGTAACGCCTTCGAGGACTGCCATCGTGAGCTACGACCACCACTGGTTTACTAGGATAAAGAAGTACCCCCAAAACTCATCATTCGCCCAAGAAGAGAAGAATGCTAGACGCAATGCTTTCAGGGATTGTCGTCGTGAGCTATGTCCACCAATGGTTTACTGGGATAAAGAAGTACTCTCGAAACTCATCTTTCGCCCAAGAAGAAGGCATGCAAGAGTAAACGCATAATCAAGACTTGGTTGCTAGGCTAATCTTGCTACGCATAATCAAGAGTTGTTGCTACGCATATAAAGGGAAAGTGAAACACTTGAAAACCCTAAAATACCCTAGGAAAAAAGAAGAAGACTAATATCATTTTTTCACATCCAATGGTTTAGAATACACCACCATCCCTCGTCCAATTTTCCAAGTAACCATATTTTAGTTTTAAAAAAGTTCATGTCGCTTTATACTCCAACAAAAAAAATCGCTTTATACGATTGATGATCTTATATGTAGTAATTTCATTTTACCTTTGTATGATTATTAAAATACGAAACGGGTATAATACATATAAAATATCTAAGTTTATTATTCGGTAACTTTCTTTAAAATATACAGTAAAAAATTTGATCATTTGATAAAAATATAAATTTATTTATTATGTTTTTGTAATTTGTAGTCATTTTTTTCTAAAATACGTGAAATTCCAGATAAAATTGGCAAATAATAAGTGTATTATTGTAAAATGTTTGAAAAATATTATTGTCTTATTTGTGAAAATAATGTATGAGTGGTTGTGACTCGGCCTCAGCCTCCCCATCTGAGAAGAGAAGCGCAACCCAAGAATGCAAAGAAGATGCTCGAGGAAAGACGATCCCAAGAGTGCAGTTGCAAGGTTCTATGCGCCTGGCCAAAACGATGTACCGAGAGTCTGGGAGCAACCTTGAGGACCAAGTAAATAATATTTATAAAAATAAAAAATAAAAAAAATAAGTTTTTCTAGCGGTTTTACCCCCTTAATTATTTGAATATTATCAATTTAGCCCTGTAACAAGTTTTTCTGTAATTTAAGGACTCCAATTGTGTAAAAATCGCCAATTGAAGGTCAACCGTCAATTTTTTCAAATTCCATCCAAATTTCCGTCTAAATTATGTTTATAAAAAAATAAAATAAAATAAAATAAAAGGTCAAACCTCACCTACCCAGCCCCGCCCCTCTGTCTCTCTCCCCCCTCCCATCTAAATTCTAAACCCACCCACATCCACCCGATCACCATTTTCAGCTTAAAGCACACACACAACACTCTTCCCCATAACCCCAATCTCTCTCTCTCTCTCTCATTTGTATATTGAAGATAAAGTTAGCATAGTTCAAAGTTTGAAACTATTACCATATAGTGCATATCATGCCCATCATCATCAATTACTACAAGAATACTACCTGCTGGTGCTCCAGTAGACACGATTTCTACCTTTTCCCCAGTATGCGTACGCAATAATGTACTCTCAATTAAATTGCTCAGAGCATTTCGCAAAGCAGGTTCTTCTACAGCAACTTGCAAATTGATAGAAGGGGAAGAGAGAGAAAGGGAAGAGAGACTCTGTCTTTGCGAGAAGAGAGACCTAGTTTGTTCGGAGAGAGAGAGAGAAAGAGGAGGGGATGGGCGGGGGCAATGCTAGGGTTGGGTGGAGGCGCGTTCATGAGATTACCTTATTTACATTTTCAACATTTAAGTAAATGTCTTTCTCCTTTTACTTTCATTTTTTTTATATTACTCTATTTACTTAAGTTTACAATGTAAATAAGGAAATACCCCCTATTTGGATTCAAATAAATATACTAGAAAATCAAATTCCCACCAAATCAAAATATGAAAAATCGGTTTTAGTGAAAAATACGATTTAGGCTAAAAATGATGGCTCATTAAGTCAATATATACTTCATACTAAAATCACATAAAATCAAGTTTTCTTATTTGATGTGTAAGGAATAAAAGCCACCAAAAATTATCTTGAGAAAATGATTATTCCGAAAAACTATTTTTCATATTTAGTCAATATTTTTACATAAAACATTTTTTCATGTATGATATGAATGCATGAAGGGACCTAAGGTTTTTTTTAGTTTGTGAAATTTTGATTTTTTCTTTCTATTGGGTTTAATTGGGGGAAAAGCTTTAAAGATATTTGCTAAATCGCTACTATTTGTCTATCTCTTGCAATTTTTCTTGCTTAAAATGTATTTTTCTATCCCTTTGTTAAGGACAATTATGATTGCAACTAATAAGCAATATAATTCTTGACATATGTGATATATATACTATTTTTCGTATGTATTGTGAGTTTGAATTTTTGAATTTTTATAATTTGTAAGAGGCCCCCACACACATGAAATCTTGGCTTCGCCACTGGGTGGGTGGGTGGCGGTGAGGAGATGGTGGGGTGCTAAGGTTTAGGTATGAAGATGAGGGATGGGTTTTTCATATTGGCTTTAAACAACTATTTAATACTATTATTTGATATTTTAATAAGGCAAAAATTACAAATTTGCCCTTAATCTAACAAAAAAGTGGATGGCGTCCTTAAGAATCTGATGGTAGGCCCTCAATTGGCTTTTAAACAATTGAAGTCCTTAATTTATGGAAAAAATTATTAAGGGGCTAAATTGACAATATACAAAGAGAGCAAAACTGCAGAAAACCCCAACCAAAAAAAAATAAAGGAAAAAAAAAAAAACCTTAACCTTAACCTAAACCTTAAGTACGATTTGTGATACAAGTCTATAACTCTATATGTAGGGAAAGTGAAACACTTAAAAACCCAAAGAACCTCAGATAAAATGAAAAAAAGACTAATCTCGTTTTTGCGCATATAATGGTTTAGAACATACCACCAATCGTTTTGTGCATCCAATGGTTTAGTTAAAAAAAAAGCTTCAAGTCATTTTATCCACCGCTTTATCCGCACGATGAGGGATGATGTCATATGTAATTATTTTATTTTACTTTTATATGATTACTAAAATACGAAACGGTTGTAATACGTATACAATTTGTAAGGTTTTTTTAATTATTTTTTATAAAGAAAATAATATGTAAGTTTATTATTTTATAATATCTTTAAAATATACAATAAAAAAAAGTGTATTATTGTAATGTGAAATTCCATATGAAATTGGCGAATAATAAGTGTATTATTGTAAAATGTTTGAAATATGTATGAGTACGTGCATAGTACTCGAATCGTACATTATATACAAATTTGTTCATATTTTTTAAAAGCATGCGACAAACAAGATTTGTTTTTTCAAATATTACATACTTGCCTCTCCGTACGTGCTTCCGCGCTTGCGAGAGGTTTTTTTTAAAAAAATTAAAATTTATTTTAGAATTAAAAAAGATAATGGGTAGTTGTGTTCCATAAAAATAGGCAATTATCTGATTTTTCTTTTAATTTTAATTTTTTTAAATATGAAAAAGTGTGAATTTACCATATTATCCTCATTTAATTAATAATTTCAATTCCTAATGTTTGCATTAATCAAGAGCATTTTCTGGTATTTTGAATGTTTCACCATTCTCTGCCTTTTGCTTTATATATATAGATGCATATTATACATGCATTAAGGAAGAAAATTACATTTTTACCTTTATGTTGAATGGGTCAAGAAATTAACCAAATTTAACTTCAGATACCCTTTTGCAAGATTTTAGGTCATGTACTAATTTGAAAGGACCCTCAAAATTCAGATACTTTTATGTAGTTAATCTTTATATTTATTTGTCATTTATTGTTTATTTTTAGCTATTATGTTATTCCCAACAAAAAAACGAAAAATAGTCTGTATATGGCTAAGTTATGTTATTGACCATTTATAAGTTAATTGAAGTTTTTTATAAATAAAAAATAGAAGTTTAAAAAAATTTATGACATATTATTTTTTAAAAACACATAACAACTAAGTTAAGGCTCTTTGCTTCTAGCCCAGTGAAAAATGGTATTTACTTGCGAACCAATGGTTTTAGATTCGAACCCCTATAACACATTGTTAGTGTGTATTTATGAAAGCCCCTTCCCTATTATAATTTATGACATTTATATTGCATGCCTTAACTTAAGTTGTAGAGGAGATAAAATTGCATGATAGTTGTTATCATTTATTGCATGTGACAAAAACCTTTATATGTGTGGTTGCACATTTGCGAACATGTATATAATTTTTTTTATAGCAATCTTAAATATGTACGCATAAATCGTTTCTATACCAATGTTAATAGATCAGATAATCTTTCCACAAAATACTTGAGATATTGGAAGCAATTAAAGATCAATAATTCATACCCAGCAAAAATGATGGTCTCACCTAATATTGAGTATTGTTTATCCAACCATGAGAAGCATGGTTCCTAATTGGGCTGGGATACTCAAATTTAAAATGACGCAGTTCCCTGGTTGTAGACTCAACAGACTTATTTTGTGTGAGATGAGGGCACTCCGCAGCTAGGAATGGGGACATGGACGGATGGAGATGGGAATGGGAATAGAGATGTGTAGATTTAAAAAAATAGGGCGTTAGAAGTGAATGTGGCAAGGGGCGAGTCCACCTAGTTTGGTCCCACCCAACACTCATGCCCAAATAATAATGACATGAAAAGCTTACCTAGTGGACGATGAATGACCCCTTCGTCGCGGCTCGACTTATGTAACCCAATAGTACAATAGTAAAACCATCGACTAACCAGTCCACCTTTGGAAAACTGAAAAAGACCTCTCTACAAGGAGTCAAACAAGTCAAAGTTAGTTAGAATATTAATACTGTTGTTAAGTCTCTGTTTAGATAGCTGTAGATCTGTTAGAGTATTGTTAGAGCACCACTCTTGTGCAGTATGAAAAGTCAGTTTTTATGATGTAATCTAATTATAATTAATGAGAATCTATATTCTTCTATATGGTATCAAGAGCCAAACACGATCCTCATTACCAGTCCTTTTCTCTGTGACTTTCTCTCTTCCCAGTCCTTCTTCCAATGGCCTCTCCTTCGTCTGACTATTCTCCATCAATTCCTCTTTCTTCAATTGCTGTAAACCCTAACTTCACTCCGGTGCACTCGATCACGATTCAGAATATTGGAAGCATGGTTCCAATCAAACTCAAGCGCGACAATTACCTTCTTTGGAGCTCTCTGTTTGCTCTGATCTTTCGTCACTACAAATTATCTGGCATTGTTGATGGATTCGAACCACCACCACCTCGGTTTCTTCGTGATTCCTCTGGAAATTGTCTCTCTCAGCTCAATCCTGCTTATGAGCTCTGGTACGAGAAAGATCATAATCTGATCATTTGGCTCAACTCCACTTTATCTGATGATCTCATTCCTTTTACTGTTGCTGTTACTTCTGCTCATGAATTGTGGCAAAATTTGGAAAAGCGATTTGCTGGTGTATCGCGATCTCATATTCATAAACTTTGATCTCGTCTTCAATCGGCTCAGAAAGGTTCTTCTTCGATCTCTGAGTATCTTCAGCATATTAAGTCGATTTCCGATGCTTTGGCTGCCGCTGGTACTCCGGTGGATGAATTTGATCTCATTGCTATTATTCTCAATGGTCTCTCTGATGAGTATGAGTCTTTTGTGACCTCAATCGAGCTTCGTCTTGGTTCCACCACTGTGGATGAACTCCATGGCCTTTTACTGAATAAGGAAGTGTCTCTGGCACGCAAGAAACACCTTCAATCCTCTCACTCATCTTAGGCTTTTGTTTCTCACCAAGCCTCACCACCACAACCACCATTACTCCCTACACCTACTCAACCTTAGGCATATTCTGCTCAACCACAACATTATCGCTCAAATTCTTTCAATTGTGACCGAGGTCGATCCAACTATAATTCTTCAAATTGCCAACCTCACAATTTTCACACCAATAATTCTCAATTTTCTTCTGCTCCATGTCACAACAATTTTCACAATGATCATTCTCGTGCACCTTCTGCACCCTCCAATTCAAGATTTTCTTATGGCGGTTTCCCTGGTGGTAAAACCATCTGTCATATTTGTAATGGCTCTGGTTATTGTTGCGTCAATTCAGCTGCACTAAAATGGATTCAGCTGCATCCTCAACTTGTGATACTCGCAAGTGCACGAGCCGTTTGGTAGTATAGCATATGTAAGTGCGAGGTCGATCCCACGAGGATTGGTGATTGAATGATCCAATTCATTTCCCCTACACAAAACAGAAATGAAAAAGAAAATAAATAAAACAAGAAAAAAAGGAAATAACTCAAGCAAATAAGTTCCCAAGTTCAATTAGATTAACGGATTGATTCTAGCTAAAGTATGATTAAGCCATGGTGTTTGGTCCTAACCTTGTGTTCCTAATTCCCTAATTTGATCATTTGTTGTCTAACCTAAAATTAAGCATTAGGAACCCATTAAGCATAGAAGAACAATTTAAACAAC